GGCGCTGATTGGCGAAATATAAACTTTTTTGCATAGCAACCGGGGAACCATTGGCTTAAATTCCAGCACTGTGGGGCTGAGCGAACTGGCGCCCTGACAAGACAGCCTATTGGCTATACTACTACACCAACATGATAAAAGTAACGAAAGTGAATGCAAATATCATTCTGGTGAGTTCAAAACACTTTTCAAAGTAAAACCATTATTAGCATATAATTAACAAAGATTATTTTTCAAAATGATAAATTATAATATATATATTAAAAAAACAGACAGACAGGTCGGAGGGAGGGCGGCGCCCCAGCGCCCTCTATGGGCGAGCCGCCCCTGACTACAGTGCTTTTATCTTAACTTATTTTCTTCTATCTACGTAGCCGAGCCATTTTAGCTTAATTACACTATGCTGTGCTGTATATATATGGTAAATAACATTTTGCTTTAAAAGAACACAAATATGACACCTTGAATCCACATTTCAAGAACATTGAGTCACATAGACACCAATTATTATTTTTGATCTTTTCTTACACATTTGAGCCCCTCTGAGTCTCCCCTCTTTTAAAACATTCCTAGAATCGCCACTGGCGTCCATTCGCTCTCTCACCTTGTGTGGAGGACATCATCCATTTTAAAGCAGCAATGGGGTTACCCACAGGGCATGGGACCAGTGAATGAGTGGAGCGGGATGATTTTGTCCTCTCCTTCAACTTCTGCCCTCATCAGCTTCTATCATAATGCTCCACCTCCTTCCTAGACACTCCACACTCTCCAAGCTCAAACAGAAGCTGCAGCGGATGTGGCAGCTCAGCGTGTGTGTGGTCAGACCTGGGTCAGATAGGAGCAGTGGGCTGATGTGCTTGAGAGGCCATATGAGAGAGAGAGAGAGAAAGGAGCTTTATTACAGCGCAAGGGCAAATCAGTGTGTAGCTCGACAGTTTGACTGTTGCAGTGTGGGAGTTTACATCCAAGTTACATGTGCTCTGTTTATGACCTAAACTGTAATGCTGTTATGTTTGCTGCAGTATACATTCATTCGGGGAGGGGTGGGGGGTGGGGGGGGGGTTCAAACCTTTTGATGCCATGGACCCTTGGATATGATTATACCTGTATCCTTTCTAAAATATAGAGGCAGAAATATATTTTTATGAAAAGCTACAGTGTCTCTCTCTACTTCTGAGAAAAATAGTGTAAAACTACCGCAATAAAATCACCCCCTTGTCATAATTGTGTTAGATTGTGTAGAATGCAGCCCACTTCAGCTAGATCAGCACAGGTTGTACTGTATCTGGGTAAAGTAGATTATGCTTGTTATTAAGATGCAGATTTTTGTGGCACAACTGTTCCGAAAATTCACCCTAGAGCATGTATCCTTCTCTGCCCTTGTGTATCTGGGCATTTTATTCACATTATCTTCTGCCCTTTATAAAAATATCCCTCTGTCAGTTTTGTTTTATTTTGTTTTTTCAGATGTTTGACATCTGGGCATTACAGCCAGGTGTTTTGCGCTTTAGCCAGCAGTGACAGCCTGTTGACAGGTGATTCTGTCCTGCCTCAGTAGCAGCGGCCTCTGGAGAGATTAGTCACCCACAATGCCCTTCACTCATATGCATCATCAGTATTGCATCAAACACAGAGGCTCTGGATCATAAATCACTGTCATTTCTCTTTATCTCTATAAATGATAGCTTGCATTAGCCTGTTGCTGGCCGTATGTTATGGTCATGAGATTAGGAGGTCATTGTGCACTTAGGGCACCAATCGGCCTCCTTACTTGGGGCCACAGGTTGTGCAGTTTAGAATAAAGGATCCGTTATTCATCTCTTCACTATGTCTTTCAATATCTGCATTCTGTCTTTAATTCCTGCTGAGGACAGAGGATTTTGGGCTCAAGGTTCTTTCGAGGACACTTCAAAACTTCAATGCTTAAAGGAGTAGTTTACTTTTAAAAAAGCGTTTGCTGATAATTTACTCACCCCCGTGTCATCCAAGATATCCATGTCATTCTTTCTTCAGTCGAAAAGAAATTAAGGTTTTTGATAAACATTCTAGGATTTTCTCCATATAATGGACTTCAATGGGAACCAAACGGTTCGATGTCCAAAAGACAGTTTCAGTGCAGCTTCAAAGGGCTTTAAACGACACCAGACGATGAATAAGGGTCTTATCAAGTGAAATGATCGCTCATTTAAAAAAAAAAAAAACATCAAAGTTTAAGTTTGGTTCATTCAACGAGTTGACTCGGGAAAAGATGAACGAGTTCAAACAGGAGAGTCACGACGCGCATCACAGAACAGAGCAAGGTGACCATTTGAGCTTATATATTTATTTATTTTTCAAATGAGCTATTGTTTCGCTTGATAAGACCCTTATTCATCTTCTGAAATCGTTTAAAGCCCTTTGAACAGTTTGCAGTTTGCACTGAAACTGTCTTTTGGACCTTGAACCATTTGGTTCCCATTGAAAAATCCTGGAACGTTTTCATCAAAAACCTTAATTTCTTTTCGACTGAAGAAAGAATGACATGTATATCTTGGATGACATGGGGGTTATCAGCAAAAGTTTTTTTTTAATGTGAACTACTCCTTTAAGGACAGATTTACTAAACAGGGCAAAATTCAAATTAGTGGGAGCCCGCTAAAAAAAACACTGACCTAATGACACGCAAATGAAAGAACACAGATGGACCGGGACCATTTTTATAATTACCAACGCAATCTACCAGGAGCGGCGCAAATTAGCGTCTGGTTTAAGACATGCTTTTCTTTGGGCGGTAAATTTTGGCGCAAATATCAGTAAATTGACTAGTGCAAACTGTGAATCACTTTGCATGATTCATTTAAATACTCTCCTCCCATCATTTTTGCATCTAGCTGGAAAAATAACCGTCCATGCCTTTCAGTGCAAATTTTTCACTGCGGCGCGTCTTTCTTTAGTAAATCCTAACAGTAGTTTTTTAACGCCAAAAAAAGGCTTGCGTTGGCGCATGCTGTTAGTAAATCTGGCCCTTAATGTCTTCAAACTGTGTTCTTATATTTTTGCAAAGAGGTCCAGTTTATCCAAATGTAAAATTCATAATTGCCTGTCAATTGGCTTCCTCTGTCATAGTTAGTCATACAAAATGGTGAGTGAGGAGACAGATTAAGTGTTTCATAACATGGTTCCATCCGAAGAACTGAAGCGTTAAACCCTCTGTTAAAAATTCTTCTTCCTCCCTGTCATTCTTCTACCTGGATTTACTTAAACAAAATGGATTGTCATGGTACAGTGAGTCTGTAACGTTAAAATGCGTTTGAACTGAGGTGACGTTCAAATTGAATTAGTCCTTTTGGAGGAATTTTAGTGACTCATTGTAGCTGTTGAAGTACCCACAGCAGTACTGGATACTGTTGTGCATTTTAACTTGCTTTACCAGTAAGAATCAATCAGCATCCTGCAAAAACCAGGCTGGGCCAGCATGAAAATTCAGTCGATTCGTTTTCTTTCTTTCTGTGAAAACAACACTTTCACATTCTCTTCTTTGTTTTGTTGTTGTTGTTTTAGCTTGACTTTTGTATGAAAGTATAGTTTAACATTTGGCTATAATCCTCTTGTGTATTCATTCAGTAGATTAGCCCTCATTGGTATGGTGAGGCGACGTCAATACCAGACTAGCATTAGCACACAATCGCTAGTTTTTTATCTCCGCCCTTTAGACTCCAGAACACACTCTGCATTCACCTCATGCTCTGTTTGATATTTGTCAGACATCAGCATCTCAATGAGAACCTGTCAGTTGAGGTCAGAGAAAGGAAGGAATATATCCAAACTCTAAACGTGTGTGGAAGTTTTATCAATCTGTGGCTTTGTCAGAGAACAAACACTTTTTTATTGATGCTTTGGCTGTTTCCAGAGACTGATAGTGGGCCATGCTAAAGCTGTGGTATAGCAGCATGGTACACGCTAAAAATGTGACTATAAGAACAAGGTAGCATTTCTGAGGTGTTGAGCGCTCAAGTGCGCCCCCCAGAGTTGGCTAGTGGCAGGTGAAAGTGTTCTTGGGGGGGAATGAATCACTGTTAAAATAAAAACAGCAGGAAACTGTCAGTAGTTATACATGTCAGGATGTCAGTAGCTGGCGAGTCTGTGAGTGTGTGTGTGTGTGCGCTTGCCTTTGTGAGAAAGAGCGGTGATGAATGCAAAACGGAGCCACACACACCATTTCCCCTCCTGCATTACAAAGGACATTGCTGAGCTCCTCACCCAAGGGTGAGCCACTGTACCATGACCAGATGTTTCTCTTTGCTCACAAGATATTTCCCATCGTTCCTGCCATCATTCAGTTCATTTTATTGTCACATGCAATACTAGGTCTTGTGATGGTGCATGTTAAATCCACGTACAAAACTATATATTTTCAAAATCGACTTGTTGGTGGTTGCCTGAACAACTAGTCAACTAATCTTAAAGAAAGCCGTTTAATTGCAGGGCTTCCTTGTTTAAGGTAACCTTACTTTGCAACCTGTCTAACTGTCAGCATAATGCTCTCCAATATATATATATATATATATATATATATATATATAAATAATAATACAAAATCAGCCCCTGTGTGTGTATATATATATATATATATATATATATATTAAAAAATAAATGTATATGGAGGTTTCTTGAACTTATGGGACTCATTAACATTTTTTTTTTTTAATTTCCAAACAAGCTGTAATTTTGTTCACTTACGTCAAAAAATATACAATTGTGTGCATTTATGGTACAATATTTTTTTGTTTCCACTACAATGTCAACGAAAAAAAAGAATACACCTGTGATGTATACGTGTTCATGCTGTTGGACATTATTATTAAAAGGATGAAATAAATTGGTGATATTGAAAAAGTGTCTTTTAATTGAGTTAATTTGGACAAAAATTAAATAAACTAGTCACCTCTCCTATCGACTAGTCAACCATCATGACTCAGCCTCAATGTCCACCTATAAATAAATTGTCCATTCTTACACAGGAACAAGGGAAGGTCGGCGTGATCTTCAATGTGGGCACAGATGACATCACCATAGATGAGCCTGCGGTTACCGTGAACGATGGCAAGTACCACGTGGTTCGCTTTACACGTAGCGGTGGCAACGCCACCCTCCAAGTGGATAACCAGCCCGTCATTGAGCGCTTCCCATCAGGTAAGTCCCCGCAGAGGATGGGGATAGCCATCTGGGAGTGGGGGGGAGATCCCATTACACGTGTGGTTGGTAGAAATACTGGGAGCAGCTTCCCCTGGGACTGGACACATGGGGTCAGAGAGAGACACTGTATATTTCCACTCGCAAATCAGTGCGACGTCATTTGAAGCACTTGGCCTGGAGCACTCATCCATGTTGGAGGCATGCCTTATTGAGGGGTACAAATTGATTTATAATTTCAAATGCAAATTATTTAGGTTTGAAGTGCGCCATTTTTACCCTCAGACTCTTCCAAGAGTTTATGAGTCACCACATGCAGCGCCTCGATAACCACCGCATGCACAATCTAATAACAAATGCAAATTGACACATTTCCCCCCAAGCTGCCTTGCCTAATACATTCAGCCCGAGATGGATTTGGATCCTTTACAGTTCTCAACTTCAGCCAGCTTTTCTCTAGGCGGGCTGATGAAGGTGTCTCTGAAGATCCACCATCCCTGAACTGCGTGCGAACTTTGAACCACAAAGCGCTCTTTCATTTTTTACCTCTCGCAGGTTGATTTTTGTACCCGTGAATATCCCAAGTTGTGGTATAGCCTGCGCCGTGAACTGATATTGCACAGCCTTAAACTTTTTGTAACGAGCCTTGATTGATGATCTCAACCCTGCAGTAGTCGCTCCCGTGAACCGTCCCCGTCCTATACAAACATCTCGCACTGCGGTCCCCTGGCCTTGTGTGCTTTCCAATTAAACTTGAGCAAACTCTCTCTCTCCCCACTGTGTGCTCAGGGAGCTGCCTTCCTCTCACAGATGCTGTTCCACAGGAAGACATTTTCTCCGTCTCTAATAGCAATCCTGTCTTTGCCGTCCTCGTTTTTCAATCGGTTTCTCCGATGTGCTGCTTCACGGCAGGTTAGTGCAGACTCAAGAAGTTCTTTGCGAAAATACAGCTCAAGCCAAATAAAGCGGCGCCTCGGCTCACCTGCTATGCTCCTTCTACCCCTGCGTGTGGGGTCTTGTTTCGAAATTGCCAGAGGTTGAATGGCGCTGCGTCCCTGCGGCTCGGGCTTGAGATTTGGTCTGATTTCTGAAAGGGAAAATTGGTTTTCTACTGCTGCGACACAGGCATCCCATCCGCCAAGTCTCCCCCTAAGCCCCCTCAGGTGGTGAGAGTCAGATGGGGCGGCCTTTCCAAAGCGCAGGGATAAAGCCCAGCTTCAAAGTCGTCACAGTCATGTCATGCTTCCTTTAAAACTGAGTTATGCGCATTTAAATGGAATGGCACAGCTTTTATGTGGCACCTGTCATCCTGGGGATTTAAAAACGATGATATTGGTCTTGCGTGTCATCCAACACTCGCAAAGCTCACGTGTGTAAACGAAGCTGGCTGTGTATGGCTTAGATTAGCGGGCTCGATTAATTCAGTTAATTAAAGCGGAGGATTAGATAAGCGGATATGTTCCCCGGTGGCAGATTTGCCGCTCCCCGCGGACACGGGCACAACTGACCGCTCGGCGCGCCGTATAAATAAGAATCTGGTGAAAATCGGTGAATAGCAATGCATCAGACTTGATTGGTTTGTTTTTGCTTTTTTTGTCGCTTACTCACAGATGAGACCTATTTCAAGTTTTCTTTGAAGGTTCAGCACAGCATTTGCCACACATGAGCTCTTTTAACAGGCTTACGGGAGTGGGTGGTTTGGCCCTCATTCAGGTTGCAGGGTGGGTAGGACGAATAACGGAAAGGCTTGTATCTCACACGACTGTCACAGAGGGAACATGACACAGTATGTGGTGTGTCAAAAGAATTCTGGTAACACATGGCATACCGACATCTTTCCTCAAGAAAGAACAGTTTTAACTGCAAAATGACTTATTAATGGGCTGTGTCTGAATTTCTGCGGTATTTGAAAAAGAAAAGGTTTTGGAAATGTCACGGCTGCTGCTAAGATATTTTAGAAGACGTAAAAGTTGTTGCGTGGCAAAAAATATTGACCGAGCCATTGTAATAAGAGGTATCAGGATAACATGTGGATTTTAACAGCACAACGGTGGAGAGCAGAGAAGAGAAAACGGTGAAATTAAGAGATTGTCCTTTTAAATGTGAGTAACAGGACCCGCAAGCTCATTTTAGCTCTGATGAAGGGATCTGTCAGAAAAAGGAAACGGTCTCTTATCTGGCTGCCATGACACCGAGTCGATTGCAGCTTTTGTGTCTTTTTGTAATTACACGTGTGCTAATTTATGCAGGTACCTCGAGATGCTGATACTAGATTGCATTGTTCGTACTCTGATTTCTTGTAGAGACCAGAAAATGTCTTCCGGAGCAGTTCGAACACTACCATTGTAGAGCTGCACTTTATAATATATGTGACATGTTATCACTGATATCTTTGTTGTCCTTTTGACTGTATGAAATTTTCCTCAAGTGTTATTCGCTGAGATGACATCACAATTAACAGACCAAAACTAGAAGATAAACGATCACTAAATATGTCCTCAAAGCTTTCTAAACAGAATTAAACATGCTCTAATTAGTCTCTCAAGCTTCTAAACTGTCTAATAACTAAGTGCAATCCACCTTAAAACAACATAACTGCCAGCATAAAGCTCGTTTAGACTTCCTAACTTGCTAAACTTGATAGTCTTGTTGCCATGTTTTTAACCATGTGACGCTTGAACTTCCAGATATTAACCTCTTATCTGTCTCTCTAAATTCTTTGAAGGGAACATTGATAATGAACGGCTTGCAATAGCCAGGCAAAGAATTCCATACAGACTTGGTCGGGTAGTTGACGAGTGGCTACTCGACAAAGGTAATAAAAATGGATTAATTAAACAATGACTTAATGGCTTATTAAGGCTCTGTAAGAGGTGCAGTTCCCTTAAAACCGCAAAGCTGCGAGCCATTTCGGATTCTAAACGTCCACAAAAATCCAACCTTTTCCATTGGCGTACAGTGGGCCAAAACAAACTGTGAATTGTGGCTGCCCACATACAAGCTAAATCCAGTTGGTCATTTCCATGTGGCTTGTGCTTTTCATATCATACTCTTAAGTTAGAACTGCACCACTTCAGAGATAAAGGTTTAATCTTAAACATAACCCCTGACTAACCCTTTAACAACGCACCATAACTGCAACAACTGTCTGTAAATAGTTTATTTTTCTTGCTGTCTTATGTTTTCCTTCTGTGATCCCCTCTGACTTCGCTAATTTTGAAGTACGATGATTTTTAAAAAAGCTAAAAAAAGCAACACTAACTCTTACTAAAGAAAAATATAATTATCTTTTCCAACCCCAAGCAGTTAAAGGGACTATTGCTTTTTTTGTCATTCTAACACTTAAAATCAGAATAAAGTTTCAAAAATCCCCTTTAACCCTTTGAGTCTAATGAAAGCAAAACAGACTTTTCGCTTAATAGTCTAAAACTTAACCGTGTAGTAATCTTTGGTCCCGTGAGACATCTGTAAACGGATGAATCCTGCATGGTATTTGGTTTTCCCCAAGAAACCTTCTCAGTTATTAAAGAACAGAAACAATCTCAGACACCTGCGTCAGCACATTATCAAAGAATATTTTGCAGTAATGCTCTACTGGATGTGTAAGTAATCAGACTTTTTGGTTGGCCGCGCCTTTTTCATCTATATGCAAACTTCTTTTTCTGTTCATGTGCTGAGCTAACATCACATCTAAATGTTAAGTGTAAAACAAATACACTTGCACAGTGTTTTAATGGAAATCTGACCTTTCCAGGTCTGCATACCTTTGTTGATTGAACTCAATAACATGCAGAGTATAACGTGATCCAAAGTTCATTTCTACATTTGTCTAAGTCATTTTCAGACGTTTAGCTTTCCCTTTTGCATCTAACTAACATATTTTGTCTATATATATATATATATATATTTGCGATGAGTATTTCCTCTTAGTATGATTTGATTTCCACCGCTCAATATAAATAGGGTACTAAACTAAAGCTAATTCCATCTTAAATCCCCCTAAATCGCAACTAACTCAGAGGGTTAAACAGTCTAAATATTAACGAAAAACTTTTTCGTTCCCAAATGAGAGGAAAATTGCTGTCAGCCTTTGCACATTCATATGTGATTTACAATGTCCCTTTAACATGTGTAATAAGTAATGATAATGACACAAATTTTCCTGTATGACTGGTACGATTTACTGAGTGACTGGGTTTTTGTGTCTGCCTCCTGCTCTGTGTCTCAAAGGCTCTTTGGTCTCCTCATTCTCCTCCATTAAATGTTCTAACCTCTGTCACTGGGTCTCATACATTTAGCTGCAAAGAAAAGATCTGTCCAACCTTGAGTTAATCACAGGAAAACCTTTTTTTGCCTTTTTTCCAGACATGCGAGAAAATGAAATCTAATTGCACATTTTAAAAGCAGTGAAAGGATTAATGCACCTATATAATCATATTCTGTCGTTCTAACTCAAATCTCTCATGTCGTTCCAAACGTACGCAGGGAAATTTTAGATCGCTATATTCCAATGAACGAGAACCGAATCAAACAATTTGATATTTTAACTATAAAAACTATCCTAAAAGTGTTCTTTTGAACACGGATAGCTTAAAATAGCTTTTTTTTATAGTTAAACTTTTTTTAATTAAATGAAAGTCAATGGAGTCCAATGTCAATTTGGTCCTAATTGGCTTTAATTGAATACTCAAAACAGACCTAATATAAAAATACATTTATAAAATCTGAAAAAGAAACTTGTATACAGGTTTGGAACAACATGAAGGTAAGCAAATGATGACAGAATTGTGGATGAACTGCCTCTGTAAGTCCCATGCAATGCTATCACAGAGATGATAAAGAGAGCATTTATACTATATTGTTCTCATTGGTGCTTTGTATTATGTCACCGTATATCAGAATAATTGTTACACTGTACAATAAAAGTACACGGGCAAGTGGAAAGTGTCCATCTGGCTTCTTCCCACTCTATTACGACATACCTTTCAGAGGTTATGGTCTTTTTATCTCGGTGCTCATGTCAAACTTGGTTATTTCCAACTGTTAAAACTGAGACCCTACTTGTGTTAAATGGCAATCCTTCATTAAACATTTAAGTGGCTCTCACAGAGGGGATAACAACTGCCCACTTCATAATCAGCTGTGTCAGAGTACCTGTTCATCAGGATTAAATGGATGGCGGCAGTCCAGCACTTAGTGGCCAAAGGAAACGGCACTTTGAGTTAACCATCCTTTTCCTCTTTAAGTAGTAATTCTGAAGGTTTTGTTGGCATTTAATTATATCTAAAGTTTGGCCCAATTGCTTAACACTCGCCATTTTAATACAAAACCACTTGAATCAAACCTGTAGCGCTGTGACTACCTGTTGCAGCACTGAAGTTTTTAATAATATTGATACTACTTAACTAAATTATCAATTCAACCAGTGGTATTTTCTATGGAAAATGACTTGGTGACAATGGAGATTCTGGGGACAAAATCCTTAACGCAGAGGCATTGTTTGGGTGTGGGTGTGTGTGTGTGTGTGTCTGCGCCCCCTATGTGTGTGTATTCGTGGGGATGGAGGAGATACTCCTCTTGCCTCAGTGACACATTAACATTTGAGCTGGCAGATGACACTTATTCATGCAGATTAGCATCAACAAGGCCTCCGTCTCTGAATAAAACATATCCAAAACTCTTTACATACTCATAAATATTGTTTTCCAATTTGGTCCTCCTTATTCAGTTCATTATCCACAGCTCAAGCCTTACTAGTTTAATGAGACTCAAATGATAATATACAGCCATTATTCTATAATGATAAGGGCTCTTCCACTCCTCCTTTCATAGACGAGCCACCTCAGGCTCCGGGAGTGATCTTTGCCATCATGTTTAATACAACATTTTGTCTCCTGCACTATCCGGGTCAGAAACGACAGCCATTAGAATTGGAGATTTTCATCACCAGGTTCAAATGTTAAAAGTGTTATCAGCTGATTTAGACACATCCTACCTGTGACGCCAAAAACAGCCTGTACTAATGGTCCTGGTTTGCTGCTCTCTCTCTCTTTCTCTCTGTCTTGCTCTCTCTTCGTCTTCTCTCTGATGCATCCCAGGTCGGCAGTTGACCATCTTCAACAGCCAGGCAGCCATAAAAGTGGGAGGTCAGGATAAGGGGCGGTCGTTCCAGGGCCAGATCTCAGGCCTGTACTATAACGGGCTGCAAGTGCTGAAACTGGCGGCCGAGGGGGATCCGAATGTCCAGGTGGCAGGAAATTTGCGTTTGGTTGGGGATGCACCCTCTGTCTTGTCCACAGAGACCACATCAGCCACCCCACCGGCTGCGGCAGACATGTCCACCACCATAATGGAGACCACCACCACCATGGCCACCACCACCACCCGTAGACAGCGCTCTCCCAGCCTGAAGGACAGCATTACACAGGTGAGGATGGGACGGTGGAGAGAGGTGCACATTTCTCTTGAATGTGAGGGAGGATGTTGCGTTTATAAAGAGTTTTGTTTTACAAGATGTCCGGTTGGTGATCAGAAATAAAAGAGCTGACAGGACAAACCACCCTGGGGTATAAAATCTGTCGTGTATTGCTTGAAAAAGAGCTGTCACTCTGCATCTGGAAGGCCCTGAAGGAGAAGAATCATAAAGCTTAGATTCGCATGTGTCAGGATATATCTCCCCCACATAGACTTTCCCTTTCATTCCTCCCACACGTAGTATTTTACTAGTCACATTTCCTTTGAATGGTCCTGCAATTTTTCTGAAGTCATTATTTTTCTAAGCCTCGAGAAAACATATTTAGAGCTGTAGCACTTTTCTTATGAAAGCAAACATTTGAACGGTTAAATTTCTATCCACTTGTCATTATTTCCAGTTTGACATCCTCCTTTTACTTCTGATTAAAGCACTTTTTTTAAGGGGGGTCATTTATTTTACCATACAATTTACTGTATATCTGTCTGTGGGAAAAGGCTTTTTAGTTGGGCTGTCATTTAAACGCGTTATTAACGGCGTTAACGCAAACCCATTTTAACGGCGTCAATGTTTTTATCGTGCTATTAATGGTCTTTTTGGCCTAGCAAACTTTGTCGTTTTTTTCACACGCTTTTGCAACAGGATGTGGAGCTGCGCTATGAAAACCCATTCATTTCAATGGCTTGCATCGCGCGAGAACGTTTTGTTGCTTCGTCGTCCAAAACGCGAGCGGATCTAGTTAGACCGGAAACAAAACAACAGGCACGCCACCCACACTTGTTTGGGACTGCGAGCTGGCCAAATAGTTTGTTAACATTACATTTTGAGTGGATGACAAGTGCGAGACACCGAAATGGATGCCCTCTCTCAGAAAAAAAGGTACAAAAGCTGTCACTGGGGCTGTACCTTTTCAAAAGGTAAACTTTTGTCCATTTTAGGTGCTAATATGTACATTTGAGGTTCTAATATGTACATTTTATGTGATAATATGTACATTTTATGTGCTAATGTGTACATTTTAGGTGTTAAAATGTCCATGAGCTAATATATCCATTTTAGGTGTGAATATGTACATTTTAGGTGCTAATATGTACATTTTAGGTGCTAATATGTCCATTTCATGAGCTAATATGTCCATTTTAGGTGGTAATATTTCAATTTTAGGTGGTAATATGTACATTTTAGGTGATAATATGTACATTTTAGGTGCTATTATGTCCATTTCATGAGCTAATATGTACATTTCAGGTGCTAATATGCACATTTTAGGTGCTAATATGTACCACTAAGGTACCAATATGTAGCCTTTGGATACAAAGCTTTTGAAAAGGTACAGCCCCAGTGACAGCTTTTGTACCTTTTTTTTCTGAGAGTGTATTCTGAATGGAAATTTTACTTTTAAAAGTTGCCAAATTCCACTGACAAGGCCAAAGTGCTCTGTGTGTTTTGTCGTTGCGAACTGAGCCATCATCATCGCAGCACGTCCAGTCTGAAATCCCACCTGATGCGACTTCTCCACCCCCTCGTCAATATCAGGACCTCGCCAGTATTTCTTTCACGCTGATGGACAGTGTTACATTGTTTGAGAGATTATTTGCTCCAAGTGAGAATGTTAGTGCGAAATTGAACACCGTATATGCCAACGTTGTTTTCAATAAAAAACAATGACACAAAGCAAGCCGATCCATTTTTACATGTTGATAAGAGTATTAAAATGAGAAAATAATGGGACAAAAAGAAATCAAGAGACATTTAGAATAGATAAAAATGTGCTATTATTCACGAGTTAACTATGACATTAATATGATTAATTACAAATAAATATTTTAATCGTTTGACAGCACTACTTTTTAGTTTTACAAGGTTAAAAATGCTACAAAATGTATATTTTACATTTGTAATAGTTTGAAATGAGAGCATATAAGGATTGTGAATATCACAATTTCAATAGAACCCCACATTATCAATGGCCAACTTTGGGCCATCTTTAACTGTGCCCTGATATTTCCGAACAAGCTCACAATTTATGTAAATATAAGGTTTTATTTGCTAAACATGCTGGTTTCTATCTTGTCATTAAAGCATAGACTTGACCATTGTTGTTCCTAGCCCTGCAATTCGTCATGCCTATCGACAGCCTAAAATCTTCTATTTATTTATCCTCCAGCAGCATCTGTAAAATGCTAAAGCACAAGGCTATTAATATTGAGAATATTGAGCGTCAAATCTGACATGTGTGTGTGTTGTCTCTGCCCCCCATTCATCACATATTGGTAGCGAGTTAGCAGCGCTTGCCTCCCCCACTGTCAGCCTTTATTCATGTGGTGTTCAACTCCATTGATCAGGAGATGCACGTTGATAAGAATAAAGGCCAAGCTCAATAACAATCAGTGTCAATCATAACGAAACTGCCAAGATCTATAGCCACTAGAAGCAAGAACACAAATTCTCTCACATGTGTGAGCTGTGAATCACTCTTAATCCGTGCTGTCCTGGGTGTAAATAGTCATACAAAGCAATAGCATAGAAATGGGGATTTGAGTGAGACAGCTTAGTGTCGAGGAAGTTCCAATGCACCTCTCCTCAAGATGAGTAAGACATTTATATGGAATAGCACCAAAAATGTATAGACTTTATGAACTATATTTACATTCACTCTAGATATGTGTAGTTCAAATAGATTACTTTAACCAATATTTGTTTTCTTTGTATTTTATGTTCATAAGACCAATATCAATAGTGAGTTAATAATATGCAGATTCCTATTTAGCATTAGCCTAGCAATATGCTAATGTCCCTATTGAAATCATTTGATTTGATCCTGCACAGAGCAGCTAATGTCACACAGTATTGAAATCGATGAGTCGATCATTTGGAGTGATTATGGTTCTGCCCATTGAGTGACAAAAATGCACAAATGCTGTGAAAAACACTTCTAAAACGGCAAAGAGCTTTGCGATTGACTGTACAACTACATAATCTGAGGTATATTTTTACAGACTGCCGAAAGCTACAGAACAAAGCAAATGGATCGCTTTAATTCAGAAAAAACATGATGACTTGAGGCAGCAAAAGGTGGATTTGCAGTTACCATTGAAATAGTTTACATGCACCACAGTAAGCTGATAACTCACAAATATCAGCTTATTGAAATTACCTGTTTTCGCCGTTTACATGCAAACATGGCAACACAAGTACTTTATTTAAAAAAAAATTGCGTATCTGACTCGAGTATGTTATTTCATTTATGTAGGTTGTGATGTTAACCCTTAGGGGTCTGGGGTGTTCTCTAGGTCCTGGAGGTGTTCTGACATTTGTGCTTTTTTCTGTTACTTGTGACATTTTCATGGCTAAAATATTGTTAAAATGTATTCAGCAGTATTGTAACTCTGCTACAATAATATGTCAGCAGCATGTATGTAAAATTTTGTAGTTTTGAGATAATGACGTTTATGTGTGGTTTGTGAAAAACAAAAAATTGTGAGCTGGTATCACCGGCGATACCGTGGACCCCAGGTGGTTAAGCTTACAACATGTCAGTTGGAAACGTACAGCTCATATATTATCATCTCATGCAGTTACAGATGCAGCGTTTTTACTGAGCCATTTCTGCTGCACAAGAGGAGAGGACATTTTTATCATTTTGTGGGTCATGAAAGAGTATGTTTGTGTTCAATTTCCTTCTTTGAGAGAATACATATATATAGATTGTCACAAGACTATCACAAATCATTCTCACAATTGCAATAGAACCCCACTTTATCCAGCTAGATAACTTTGGGCTATCTTTAACTGCCCTGATATTTCTGAACAAACTCACAATTTATGTAAACGTAAATTTCCTTCTTCCTTTCCTGCAAGACGCTCGCTCTGTCTGGATGTGTTTAAATGTGCACTAAAGATGCGTTCCTGTCATAGTTCAAATATACGCTCTTCGATAACCCGATAGAAACCAGGCTAACGCTTTTACAAACCATGATAAATCAAAGTAGGCGGCAAAAAACTACCTGTGTCGACCGGTTTACGGTCTGCGCATGCGCCGGAGGTGATCTCTCTCGCGTGTATGTCACTCATTGTTTACACAGAGAAAGGGTGCCATGTGCGTAGTATTTCGACGAAATGTCATTTGCCGTCACCTATATCAAGCCAAAGGATGAGAATGTGTTGGCCTGTTACATAGTTCCACTATTACCCCCTGACCGAAGCCCCTGTGTGTATCATGTTGATTTTCTGCTTATGTAGAGCATTCTGAACCAGTCACATAAGGTTCAATGCTCATATCCAGGGGTGTGTTTCCCGAAAGCATCGTTAGCCAACTATGGTCGCAAGTTGGTCGCAATTTCCATTGAACTCTATTGGTAACGACGGAACATAGTTGGCTAACGATGCTTTCGGGAAACGCACCGCAGACTGAAATTGCGTGTGTATGACGCGCCAATTCATATTTCCATTTTTGGCGTGCTATCAACAACACGCATAATCGCTTTTCAGCGTGTTTATGAACGCCGTTGACTTAACGTTATATTAATGTATATATAAATATATGACCTACCTCAACCCCGTCCCTAAACCTACCCATCACTGGGGTTATTAGCATTTATGAGTGTTGTCCTACCATCCTAAGAAAAAAAATATCGCTCCCCGCATGTAGATCGCTTCGTTTCGCTCGGATATTTAACGGCGTGTACATACACGCGGAATCACTCGGACATTAAAGCTGTAGTATACGATGTTGAAAATCAGTCGAGAAAGCCTGAAACGGGAGGGACGTTTTAAAAAACTCATCCCGCCTCTCCACACACACACACCCCTCCCCTCTGCTACGTGATCCCTCCCGGGAAACGAATTGAACAACGTCACTCAGTCAAGTTGTGATCATCATACTTTCACAACATTGCTTAGTCGCTTCAATCACATCATATGTAAAATTGCCTTTAGACACTTGAACTTAGTTGCTTCATCAACAATTCAATGACACGTTTGAGATCACGCCAACGCAAGATTAGCAACACATGAAATGTTCTACACTACCCACCACCATAACTATGATATTAGTAGTATTGCGAAGGTTTTGAGTAATTGTTATAGCAGCATACAGCGCATCTTGTTTAAATTCCGATCGGCTCAAACAGAAACCTGCTAGGCATACTGAAATATAATCAAGCACTTTAAGAAATATATTTACTTTGACCCATGATAGGCGATGCTAAACAGCTAACATTCCAATGCCGACCGGCAGAATTAGCAAGTTGTCAGACTAATAAAAAGCTATATATGTAACACTTCACGCGACTCACGCCATTTACGAGTATAAATAAATGTTAAACGTTACCTGCTCAACCAAAAGTCAGCAGTGTCAGCATCGGTATTCAGTCCCAGATCTCGCTGAAGCTTTCTCCATGGTCAATGGTGGACCCTATATTTATTCTCCTCAAATTTCGGCATTCTTCACATTTTCTTGTAGGGGCAATCAGGGGACGCTTGCTGTTGTCTCTTTTGTTTTTATCCATCGCTGTTATGCTACTTAGCTAGCTACCATATGCGGTCAGCTGCTAACGCGCGCGATTCTCATGATGCAGAAGGGGGGCGCGGTCGTGCGTGGTCGGGTGCGGTGGGGTAGAGACGCGAGCGCCAGGCGGAGTTTCAAGTGTAGCTGGTGATTGGATGAGAGCAGTTGACCAATGTAGCTTTGCGATCGCAAAGCTTTCATTGGTCAACTTTTATGCGGCTGTACAGCCAATAGAGTGAATAGATTTTTTTCGTTCTTTTTTCTATTTATATTGTTAGGATTGTACTATATAACTGTAACCAGCATATAAACGAGGATATTAATAATGAACAATCTTTGAAATCGTATACCCTAGCTTTAATGGCGTATACACGCGGATACACACGGGTAGCTCAAAGTATGTATAGATAACACGCCACTTGACTTGAAAGTGGCGTGTATGTTTAGGCAAAAGTCATGATGTCATGTTGTCATATCAGATCTTGAATGTGCAGAAAAAACATCTGAATATTTGAAGAGCAAAGTCAAATCAAATATTATTTCAGCCTCATTTTAGTGGCTTGTGCTGTTTTTAATCAAAGCGTCCATACATCCAGCAGCACAAATCTTTTGTTCTGAGATTGGTTTTCCACAAGCTCAAATTTCACCTTAAATATGTGTTTCGTTTGAAGTGAACCTCCATGTAGCACAGCTCATGTCATGCAGTTTTGGAAATTGTGCCAATAGAGTACGTTATGGAAGCCCTTGATCGAGCTGACAATAACACTATGCTTCCCTTTTAAGGATTAGGATATTGAAAGTGTCCTTGACTTTCTTTTTGTCATATCAAAAAATGAGCGAATGGCGAATTTGTAAGCAATGTATGCACGTATCAAGAAACAACCTGCAATTCCAGTGTTCTTAATAAACTTGTCTCACTAAACACACAGGCATTGTGCAAAAGTGCAGATAAGAAGCGCGCTAATTATCCTTTAATAAACGCAGTCAGGCAAAACTAATGCTGCAATACGTCTTTTAATTAGAGGTTGGAAATGTCAGAGTCTTTAGTATTTGTAAACCAGACTCAAAAACCAAGCAAATTCATCTTAGCTTTTCTTTAGTCTCAGTAAATGCTTTAATTGTTCAAAGATTGGCTTTTTGTTTAAAATAAGCCAGAAGTCTGTACATTTAATCTTTGTTGTCTTAAGGTATTGTTTTTTTTTTTTTCCGTTTCAGCATAATTTAGCTATTTGATAGATGTCGTGGACATGAAATGGTTTTGTTTATTTGGCGTAAATGAAGCATAATAACACTGCTGATATGATGGAAAGCCTTTGAAACAGGATGTTTTCCTCAATAAGCTTACTTTCGAAAGTAATTTAACCCTGGCCAGTTCCAAGTGTTTGTAGCTGACAATAGTGAACATTCAAAGGACAAGAAAAAACACAAACAAAATGAGGACTAGATCAATACGAGACTATTTCAGCCAGACCAATTAAGACTGTCTGCAGGCCAATTCGGTTACGTCAATCATGGTCAAAATTAAATGTATTTAAATGCAGAGGTGAAGCACATTTGCATACATTAAGCCAGAATCTTATCGGGTTTCGAATGAAGAGGTTTAAACGTATTATCTCAGTAATCACATCATGGAAACCATGCATTGCCTATTGAATAGTTTACCATGAACATTTTCATTATATGCATATGTAAAAGGTATTCCTCTAGCTCTGTCTTTTGTTTGTGTCTGTATTAAATTAGAGAGAACAAATGCAAAACCTGGTGTCACCATCAATGAATACCTCCTCATCTAGGGATCGCAAGGGAAGTCTCATTCTGTCGATGCCTCCCAGCCTCGCAAACAGATAAATATGCCCATACGAGTGAACAGCGAAATTGTTCTGACCTCTCGATGGGAAAGGACAAACTGATGGGTCCAAATCAGTCATGGCCCAGATCCAATTACATGTTTTATGAATGTGAGGTATGAGTCAGGAATGTTAATTCAAACTCAGGTCAAACCAAGGGGCAGCAAAGCCATTTGGTCTAGCATCACGACATCATATAAATTCCTCCACAACCAATGGGTGTTCCTTCAACAGTAGGTCGCTTTTAGTACAATCAAACCCGTTGACATGCATCACAGAAGATTTCTTTCATTTTTCTGGAAGTCATTGAGTATTTTTACTAGTGTTGTAAAATGTCATTTCCACCACACAATTTAAGATGTGATGGAAATTATATTTTAAACATTTCTGAAATAAAACATTCTCTGATTGTAACCAATCAAAAATTGATTGAAAAAGCAAATTGATTGAAATTCAGGAACCTCTCTGACCATATATTTAGCGTTACGACATAACAACCTGACAGAAAGCTTTTGCTTTCTGTTTTGTTTTTATTTTGTGCACCTGATAAATTGCATTAAGTAATTAAGACAACACTCACACGAAGAATAAGTGAATAAAAATCTGTTTATGTGTGGTATGCTTTTGTTTAATGAATTCATCAAACACACCATTGCATGGAGATAAAGACTGCATTCTTGAAAACTAGTTATATAAATAGTCATTGTTAGCAGCTTTGCTTAGCCCAATTATAATTTTTTCATGGAAAGAAGATGTGAATAAAGATGTTTAAATTTGGTTGGTAATCTATTGCAGCCCGTTCTCATCCCAAGGCGTCATATAACTGACGCTTTTAACCATGTGTCAACATCTGACGCACATGGCACCCTTTAGCGTCAACCTTTAGGTTTTTGGGGGTGAGCACCCACCGGCAGAATCATAAATCGCTCCCTATGAATCTCAATAAATATTGAAATTCTTTGTTTATTCCAGTTTTTGTTTAAATAAGTCATAGTTTTACGTTTTTAATAATTCATATGTTTATAGTGAATTTCATAGTTTATGAAAGACTGGGTCGAGGGCAAAACTATATTTAAAAAGTTGGTCAAAGGGTTTATTGTGTAAAAAAAGCAGAAATTTGTTAGCTTTAATATAATCAGCCCCTGAGACATAAGTATCCAAATATGACGAAAGCTAACTGTCACAACTTTCAAGGTTGTAGAAAAATCCGATTAAGTGGAATCTGCCTCCAGACTTGGAAAAAGAACCTGTAATCTGTTCTCTCTTTCAGAACTCAGATGACCTTCTGGTGGCGTCAGCCGAGTGTCCCAGTGATGACGAGGATCTGGAGGAGTGTGAGCCTGGCACTGGTGAGTACACACACATACAGCAGCACTGAAACCACACAGACCTACACACGCTTCAGATGATCATACTACTGTCTTAAATAGAAGACTTTTTTTTTTTTTTTAGGAGAGGTGTTTAATGACAGATATATTTCAATTGGATGTAGTGCAGTTCCATTGATCATTTCTGGTGGTTATACAGTATGTAAAATTAAACTATTACATAAAATTACATAAAATGATGTTTTGCAAATATTCAGGAAATAGCATTCATTAGAAGGATCTGAAATGTAATTTGGTAACACTTTATTTTAAGGTGACATAGTTATGTTACTACATGTACTTACTATAGTAATAACAGGAAATTATACACAATTAAGTAACTAACCTTAAACTCTATAGCAAGTACATGTTGTTTATTAATATTACTCAGTACAATGGAACTACGCCACCTTAAAATGAGATGTAACCAATCATTTTTACATTATCATTTGTTTCAGAATTATGTTTCCCATAATGTTTATCTGCTAGCACTCCTCCCCCATATTAACCTTACAAACACTATGAGCTCAGCTGATCATTTATTAAATAAATAATGTTTAGGCTAATGGTTATATTTCTTAAAGGGTGGCTTTCTCCTACTATCTGGGCTATAGACCATTTTGCAAGATGTAAACAACACTGGTCCAGAAGCACTTCCTGTTTCAATTTTTTAACACTACATAAAACCTGGGATAAAATACAACCAACAGAACATTTACAACTGAATCAAAAAGTTACATGTGAAATAAAGAAAACAGTTACAAACTGAAACAGGAAGTGTTTCAGGACCAGTGTTGTTTACATCTTGTAAAATGGTCTATTTGTAACGCTAAGTGGTCATTCAACTGTTGCACGTGTAGTACACTGAATTAATACTCTGTGCTCAGCTATTGCTTCTGTGATTGTGCAGTGTTGCAATCATTCAGTGTTGTTGAGTTCTTTCTGATGGCCCATCTGGAAAATCAGCTGTTGCTGTTTGACATTTGTCCAAGCCTTTGGTTTCATTTCAGATTATTTTAGTTGAACAAAATGTTGGAAAATTAAATGTTTTAACCCTGACATTTCTTATTAAATAATTGGTACAACAGTACTATTTTTTTGGCTAGGTCTCAAAATCTAGTCAGCTGCCTGCCTGGCTTGTTTGGGCCTCGTTTGAGTGACGCGAAAAACAAATCTCTCAAATTGTCGGTTAAAAAACCTTCAAAAATAACTCATTGTACATGTAATTTAAAGCAGTATAGCTTGTTTCCTTCATGGATAAAGTTGTCCCATAATGTGATGCGACAAGCTTCATTCAAGTTAGAGGATGGAGTATGTATATATATATTTTTTAAATAATTGTTATTAAAAAATGTCTAAAGTTTGAGAAACTAAAGATTTTTTAGTGTTTTTGAAAGAATTCTCTTATGTTCATAAGAAAAATAATGTATTTGATCATAAATAGAGTTAAAAAAATCAAATTCTACTTAATAAAGTTACTAAACTGGTGCTAAATAAACATTCCTTATTATTATTATTTATGCGGAAAACAGTGCTGCTGAATATTTTTGTGGAAATATGTATGGAATTCTTTTCTTTGATGAATACAAAAGTTCAAATAAACAGCATTTACATGAAATATAAATATTTTTTCTTTAATATTTTAGTTTTTACTGTCACATTTTAATGTATCCTTGTGAAAAAAGGTCTTTTAAAAAAAACTAACCCCAAACTTTTGAACAGTAGAGTATAAAATTAAAATGCAGCGTTTTGGTTAGCTTAACCACATGCTAAATCAGAATCAGAATGAGTCTCATGCACGTCACTGTGTGAGGGCCATGTTAGTTTCTTTTTATGACGTTTTGCCTTTAAAGAGCATCTCATATTAGTCAAATCAATATTGTAGTAAGATTTATAACATGATCCCCTATATAGGCATTGCCGCTTACTAAGTTTTGAGACACAGCATTTAAATGATTTATCACAGAATGCACATATGCAGAGGATTTTATCATTGCAAAGGGACTTCTGTATTTATACAAGTTAGATGAAAAGCCTAGAACACAGATGAGTGTGTCAAATAGTATAAAGGGGAGAAAAGTTGTGTTTTAAAGGGACCATCTTACACACCTTTGTTTTTTGTAATTTGCTTTTTTTCCATGCAAAAATCATGCGGCCTATTTGTTGATGTAAGTGACCCAAACTCCATGGTTTGCTATATTGTTTAACCAAAGAAGAGCCAAGAGCTACTCAAGATATGAGTTGGTTCTTTTTTTTATAGATGTTATTTGAGTAAACTAGACATATTTATGTTAGGTCTTTTTTTTTCATGTGAATATTGTGTAGAATCTTTGTCCTAGAATAAATTGCACATAACAAATTGATTTATAATTCTATAACTAATAGAGTGCGCCTGTAGCTATTGTCGAGTCCTCGCTAATTCTTCTTCCTCTCTCATCCTAGGAGGTGAACTTGTGTTGCCCATAATTACCGTGGACACCCAAGACCCCCTTCCCATGGCCACCCGTTACCCCGCCATCCCCGCCCCTCCCACTTCCCTGACCCCCCTCCAAACCACCAAAGAGTCCCTCATTCTGTCCAACCCCCGTCCGCCGTGCCCTCCGGACCAGGAGGACTGCGGCGACCCCATGGAGGTGTCGGCCTTCGGCTCCGGAGAAATGACGGAGTCCGACGACGAGGACTTTTACAAAAACTCCCCCATGGTCACGGACAGGACAGTCCTGCCGCCGCCCCCCGCTGTGGGCAAGAGCGGAGGCCAGGGCCCAGGTGACCACCGTCCTCCAGCCCCCGCCCCCACCACCCACCCCAACCAGCTCCACATCCCCGCGGGCAAAATGAACACCCGCGACCAGGTGCTCCTGCCACCCGCCCCGTCCTCCCGCCACACTCCAGGTCTAACCTACCCGCCTGATTTCCCCCATGTGCCCACAGCTCACCCCACCGACCTGATGGAGAAGGGCCGGCCGGGCGCCGTGGAAGTGATCCGGGAGTCCAGCAGCACCACGGGCATGGTGGTCGGCATCGTGGCGGCCGCCGCCCTCTGCATCCTCATCCTCCTTTACGCCATGTACAAGTACCGCAACCGAGATGAAGGCTCGTATCAGGTGGACCAGAGCCGCAACCCGGGCTCCGAAAGCAACGGCGCCGTGGTGAAGGAGAAGACGCCGAGCACGACTGCCGCCATCGCCAAAACCACCACCAAGGGCAAGAAGAACAAAGACAAGGAGTATTACGTCTGAGTGAGTGAACGAGCGCGCGCGAGAGAGGCTGAGGAGGAGGTTCGAGACAGGAAGTGTGCTGAGGATTTGAAAACTTCAAACCACCTCCTCTGCATCCTCAAGCATTTAAGCCACACAATCTTCTGTTTACTTCTCCAAAAAAGTTTTTCTGCCACCGAAAGATATGGGCCCGTAGGGGAATGAGGAGGAAGGCCCTAACGGATAGATACTCCTTTCGTTGCAAAGCCATTGTTGTATGTAATTTTATCCCTATCATGTCTAAAGAAATTCTTCCATTACATTCCAGATGATGTAATGCCCTCTTTGCGATTAAAAATGTATGTTTTGCGTGGTCTGGGCCTCCACAGGAGGGTAACGAAACACCATGGACAGGGAGAGAAAAGCCGCCGGTTTGACTGATTTCGGTGCTATTCCTGAACGTTTATTTAATATAACCTTCACAGAGCTATGAAATCGAGATGTTCTACTGGCCCTCGTCGTAATCATTTATGAAGAACAGAAGCGATTGTGTTAGTTATTTGCACGAGACGAGCAGATGCTCCCATCAGTTCTTGTGGAGATGTTAAATCTGACACATTTTTTGGAAGGTGAAAAAAAAAAAAAAAAAAAACGTGTTCGGTTGAAAAGGCGGCGAATAACATCTGATAGAGCCGAAATACTTTGAATTCATTTCCACTCGGATATCTTTTGTCAGGTGGAGAAATTAGGAGGATCTATCTGAAACACATGAATCTAATTCTTTCTTTGTTGTTTATTCGCCATGGTTTCATAAACACGTTCTCGCTTACAATCGCAGATCAGACGGCGAAGCCTGCTTTGACAGCGACACCTCCACCAGCAGGTGTAGAAAAGCTCAGAAGGTTGTTAGAACTTTAAAAAGCCCAGCTCTCTCTCTCCATGGTGTCGAAGCATTGTGATCTGCTAGGCTACTAATTGTGTTCCATGCATGATGTATTCACATTCAGCTTTCCATGAGAGTATTTTGATATGAAATACATAAAGTTGATAACTCTCATCTCACCCGGAGGGATTCATAACACCGTGGGCGAACACGACGCAGACAAAAGAGACCTCAGAAAGCAGGACTGTCCTGAACTGAACATCAGCTTGGACAAAAGATGTATCTATGTAAATACAGACATTGCTGAAAACACTTCGGGAGACAGGTTTGTGTGTATCGTGCATACAATGCGTACGTGCGCTTGTGTGTGTGTGTGTGAGTGTTTGTCCTCGTTCGTCCTCCGGCATGAGAAAGATATACGCAAGACTACGAGAATTATTTCTCTTGCCTCCTATATTCTCTATGGTGTGAAATTACAGCCCAATACCCATCCGAATGAGACTACAGACACTGAAACAAACGGGATAAGGAGAACAGAGGCGAAATCATATTTTGAGTCTCTTCTAGGAGGGAAAAAAGGAATTTGTTCTCATCAGAATGCCAGCTCACCTCCTCCCAAACCTTGAAGGAGAGCGTAAAAGACAAGACTTTTATGGATAAAGCAGCACAACCTTGTGTCCAGACTTTTGTATCAAAGGACACCTCTTGGAAAGGAGGGGAAAAAAGAAAGAAAAAAAAAACACAGTATACTGTCTAGATATTTCTCACATTTGAAAATATGGTTTTACTGAATTGACATTCCTTGTTATTACAAAGAGGTTTTTGTTTAGTCCTTTCTCTGCAAATGAAAAAAAAATGTTATTAAGAAAAGATATTACTTCAACTATGAATTGATTTTCAAATGTAAAATTCTGGGGGGGAAAAATGTTTTGGGATTTTATTGAATTTGGTAAAATATGAAGCATTACAACTAGCCATACCTCCATTCCTACATACTACTTTCTTTTGTTACGTCATCGACAGGGCAATTTGTTTCAGTTTATTTTTATTTTTTATTTTTTTGGTGTGTGTTTATTGATTTTGTTTGTTCTTTTAAGATATAATTGTCATTTACCTATGCTGGTCAAAGTATATTCCCGTTCTTAATGTAATTGTAAAGTGTTACTGTGAGATGAAATCTAAATATGTGTACATTGACAGAGGGAAAAATACACTTGGTTCTATACTTCGTACTGATTTGTTTAGTGTGGTCTCTTTTATTTATAAAAATCTTGCCTTAAAGAGTTATACATATTAAGCAGCAATTGACTGGAGTAATGATGCTGAATAAATCAGCTTTGCATCACAGGAATAAATTACATTCTTAATGTATTAAAACAGAAAACAGTTATTTGAAATTTCAGAGAATATTTCACAATATTACTGTTTGTACTGTATTTTGATCAAATAAAGGTAGTCTTGTAGATCATAAGAGTCTTTAAAAAAAACTTTTTTGAATGGTAGTGTAGGTCACCCATACTAATACTAATATCAAATTAGTATTCTTCTAAATGCATGGCTTTTTTCTATTGTGTAAAAGGCATGCAAATGGAACAAAATATACAATTTTATGTTGCACAGTAACAACATAAAGGTGATTAAATGATGAAATCTTCACCTAATTTGTTCTTGTCTAAAGTTTTAGACTCTCGTATTTAAAACTGAACATAAACGGAGAAGAGATTTAGAGAACCATTATTTCCCAGTGTCTTTCCTGCCTACAAGGTTTATCCAATGTAAGAACTCTCATGCTGTGAACTCAAGCCCTTGTCTTACATGGCAATTTCATCATCTGGTCTTATATATTGATGAGTTCCTACCACCGAACACTCCACATACTGCTAAGGCAAGGCAAGTTTATTTATATAGCACGACACGTAGTTGAATTCAAAGTGCTTTACACAGAAGAAATTAAAATAATCAAAACAAATAAGAATAATTAAAACGGTTTAGAATAAAAAATAAAATAAAAACGGTCGGGCGAACAGTGGCACAGTGCTGATTCAGTAAATGCACAGCTATGCGTCTCATATTGACGCTAAAGGATGCTAGTCGCCTGTATGATGCCTTGGGTTCTGCGTGTTATATTGACGCTAAAGGGTGTCATGTGTGGAGTATTTCGACGAAATGACTTCATTTTTGTCTTTGTTTAACTGAAGAACATTTTGGCACTTCCAACTGTTAACTTCATCAATGCATTGGCACAGGGAGTCAATGGGGCTGTAGTTGTTAGGCGATAGGGCTAAGTAGAGCTTGGTCGTAATAATAATAATAATTCTTCTGATGTCAATTCTAATACAAAGACGCCTTTAGTTTCCTGCTCAGAGGTAGACAGGCCTCTAAACAACACTCTTCCTTTATGGTCTTGTAGAGCGGCCCCCACGTTCTCTTTCCCCTCTCTCTGCACCCACTCTATATTATGTTCTGCAGGTACTTGTTCAGCTAACTACACGCTGCAGTACAGTTTGAGCTATTTAAAGACTGGAGCTAAAAGTGTGTTTATGGAGAGCAGTTTCCTGGAATAAGAGGCAACTTGATTTTGGAAAAGATTCAGACTGATAACGCTATATCTGGAGCGAGCCTTTCAAAGGATGAAAGCTGGCAATGACACACTTCTGTTTTCATCATTATTCTGGGTCTTCTATAAATCTAGAGGAGTAAATTGTATCTCAATATACACAAAATACACTTAAGTACTGCATTTCGTTAAATGAGTGTTTTCATTCAGTCAGTGGCTGTGTTTTCAATTATATTCTGGTGGATGTAAAATGTACCACTCTTGTCTTATAAAATACATGCAAATCACAAGGATTTGGTCAAAAGGAATATAGATAGATAGATAGATAGATAGATAGATAGATAGATAGATAGATAGATAGATAGATAGATAGATAGATAGATAGATAGATAGATGGATGGATGGATGGATGGATGGATGGATGGATGGATGGATGGATGGATGGATGGATGGATGGATGGATGGATGGATGGATGGATGGATGGATGGATGGATGGATGGATGGATGGATGGATGGATGGATGGATGGATGGATGGATGGATGGATGGATGGATGGATGGATGGATGGATGGATGGATGGATGGATGGATAGATAGATAGATAGATAGATAGATAGATAGATAGATAGATAGATAGATAGATAGATAGATAGATAGATAGATAGATAGATAGATAGATAGATAGATAGATAGATAGATAGATAACAAGAGCTTGTTAGAGATTGTAACATTCAGGTTTAAGGTGTCCACAGATAAGACCCAACTAACATCAGCCTTCAAGCTTGTATGAATCAATATTGGGAAAGAATGTGTGATTTTCAAGCAGAAGACTCAAGCTTTTGAAACTGAAAGCAAGGCAAGGTTTATCACTTATTGCCACAGTTAGTTTTAAACATCATCCAAAAAAAAACCCACAGTAAGAAAGACGAAGAACAAAAGACGAGGAAAATCTGTCAGCACCTTCTGATGTCAATTCAACTCCACATCTTTCTGAACTCGTCTCTGAGCCCTGGATTTGTGATATGATGAATAATTTAGTAGCCGACTTGCTGCCCCTTTTTCTACAAAGTAGATGGAACTCCAATTTTCACTTCTGCCAGAGCACCTGCCTGTCCTGTCCTGCCAGAGGAAATGCATTAAAAGCCACTCCCAAATGTCACTGAAATGAAAGTGTTTGATAGGTAAGCAAGATTTGAAACTTTCCTTTGCTGTTTTTTCTAAGAAGGCTGTCGTTGTATGCCCTTTGATTAAAAAAAATAGTTGTCTGGAAAGACAGAGGGGAGAAGATGCCACTGGATTGAGACTGAAGGAAAAACCTGCAGAAGCGTGAGACTGCCATCTGCTGTTCATCAATCTAGCTGGGTTGCACCATTACATCTTGTTGGGGCAGTTGTGGCGTAATGGTTTGGTTTTGCTGGAAATGACTGAGGTGTCCTTAAAGGCATCTAACCCCCAATTGCTCCTCAGGCGCCGCAGTGAATGGCTGCCCTCTGCTCCGGGTGTGTGTGTGTGTTCACTACTCACTGCTAATGTGTCTGCACTGTCTAGTATTGGTTAACTGCAGGTCGTCACTTCACTTTTACATTTGATGTAATTTTTTACCTTTAAATGAAAGAGGCTTGAATTTTATCCAAGTTACTTTTTTAATCAATCATTAAAATAAAATTTACTCTGACATATTTAAAAAATAAAATAGGGATGTAGAAAGGTATCTCATCAGCGCTTTGGACAATTTTTGTTATATCAGAATATAAAAGAATCAATCAATGTAAATATTATTATTATTATTATTATTATTAACTAACACATGCAGTATTTATAGGCCTGTAAGTGTTAACTATATCCACTTCACTAATTGTGGATAGTCAAACTTAGCTTTTAAATGTTAAAAGGGCTTGCCATAATAGTCAGAAAGAACTATTACAAAAGTAAAAGAAATGGACAAAGCAACCAGACGGAGAAAAGTTTTTTTAATTATTATTACTATTATAGATTCATATATCAAACATACAACAAGGCACATTGCAGTAATATTCAGTCAATCTTACAACATCAATTGAACATGGAGTATAGCTACATTGTAAACACACACACACACACACACACACACACACACACACACAAAACAATGTACAACAAATAAATGTACATTGACTCAGCAGTAGACACTATAGAGAATGAGTTTGCATAAGTAGGCTATTCATGAAAAAATAGGCATAGAAAAGTGAAGTCAATTAAAAGCACTCACTTCCTAATTGCCAAGTGCACTGCACAGGCTCATTCATCAATACTATGGTGATTAAATATGTATTAATCATAAAAAAGTGTCTCACTTTGCCCGAAAAACCTTTCTCACCTAAGTTGAACTGGGTCACTTAGAAAAAAACTGTCCCAGAAAAGAAATATCTAGAAAACTTATTTAAATAAATTACTGTAAGAAAATTTTAACTTTGTAGTAATTTGAAATGAATAAATGGAGGCCTGTATTTAAGAATTGCAACCTGATAGAAAAGGTCTGTCATGTCTATCGATGAATCAAATCAATGATAGTCCACTGAATGACAGACGCTTGCTGCAGCCAATCGCATTGAAGGATCCTTTCCGTCCATGCAAATGGAGGTTAACCTCAGTAGCCAATCGCGTTGGAGAATCAATTCTCTTCCTGTAGGTGGGTGTTTGCTACCTGTGTGAATGAAGCGATTCGACACTGGAACTTAGCGAGCTCACATTCTGGGCTTTTCTCGCTGGAGTTTTTACACAGCGGCCCTGGAATTACCGTGGAAATGGTTGTAGTGGTGACCACGTAAAGATATTTTGCGGTCTGTGTGTGTTTTTGTATTTTTATTTTCTTCATAAGGAGGAAGCACTCAGTGCTACCGTTAGCCGATGCTAACTCGCGTTCAGTTTCGCCGTCCTGTGGTTTTCCTTCTCTCGTTTCTGGAGGAATTAACGCAGACCCTGCCGAGAAAAACCATGGGATGTTGACGTTGAGTTGAAGAGTCTTCAACGTTTTGCTACAAAACATTTAAGCCAAAGTCAGAGGTGTCTAACAACTGCTTGTAGCATGTTAACTTAGCGGGGTGGCTAGTGAGTGTCAGGTGATATTGAGCGGTGAGAGGATAGATATACGTCAAATTAAGTCAAAAAACTGAGAAAATAGATTAAATATAATATATTTGCGTCCCTTCTGATTGATTTGAAGTTCAGCGGTTTGATTCAGTCTAAAATCCAGTCGTTCCGCTGTCAGCGTTAGCGCTGTTCCTGTTTAAACGCACTGTTTGTTTACAAAAATATTCGCACTCTGGTAACTTAACGTTTTCATTGAAGTGGTGTTGGCACGTTTCATCGACATTAATCTCTATACTGTCTTTATTTAGCCTCAATATGATTTCAAAGATGCTCTAGGCAAGCTAGCATACCTAACGTTATGTTAACATTAGATAAAGTTGTGCTGTTTAAAAGCCAAATCCACTGAGACATTTGTCAGCGTTCGTTTCTTCAAACGACTAAGTTATTTTTGTTTGCTCAGAATGCTCAGTGTTTTTCATTCTCCAGATGTAGAGATTAGCTTCTGCCATAAAGGAGAAAGTGAAAGGATAGTACTATGACTGTTTAGGCTTGGACGAAATGACTACAGGTTAAAATAAATCAGCAGTCAGTTAAGACATACAACTCTAAA